AGACAGTATTTTGAACGGTAGTTCTTGCCAAAAATAGGGCAAGAGCTAATTAACACCACAAACTCATACACAATAGCGAAGTATCACAAAATAGGTAAGTGAATCATGGATTGATTCCATTTTGGGGTCGGATTTAGAGAGAATTTAGAGATACGACGGCTAGGGTTTGTGAAAAGGAAGAGAGGAGTAGAGAGAGTGCAAAGGTGGATGATTTGGGGGAATGGTCCCTAGGGTTTGGTTATTCGGATATAAGGAGAATGGGGAATGTTTTATGGGTCGTTGATCATTTAAGATCAACGGCCAAGATCGAATAGAAAATGGGGCGGTCAAATGAATGGGTCCTCGACCGGGTTAAATTAGAGGGTCATTTCGCTTGGGCTCTGTGAATTGGGCTAGGGATTTGGGGTGTTTGGGCCATAAATATGGTTAGAAAATTGGCATAAGNAAAGTGAATGGGCTAAGTGTTTGGGCCTGTAATTTGGTCCGAAAATTAGCCCTATATTGGACTATAAAATTAAATACACGAAAATTATTTAAAATAATTTATAAAAAGTAATTTATAAATGATAAAAATATTAATTATGTAGTAAAATGATTGAAAATAATACCTTAACGTTATAAAAATGTAAAATGCTATTTTGGTGTAAATAATGTAATTATGTATGGAATATAGGCTATTATTGCAAAATTATGTAAATAGCTTTAAAATGCAAATGTAATTATATGAAATAAAGTAAAAATGTTATAAAACATGTATGTGGGTATCAATAATATATTTGGATGATTAGTTCATCACAAAATAATTTGAAAGGATAATTAAATAAATATTTGAACAGTCTAAATGCAAGAAATTATTTTTAAAGCCTTAAAAATTATGAAAAATTATAGAAAATACTTATATGACTCTTGTAAATTGGTGATGATGCAAAAAATAATATTTTGAAAGTATATATGATATTTAAAAAAATATTAGGGCAAAATTGGATATCAACAACTGCCCCTCTTTACTTTGAAATGATGAAAGAGTTGTCGGGTAAAGAACATGATGACCAATTTTGTCTGAAACGAGTGAGGATGATGTGTTTTTGAAAAAATGGGGTCAGACCCTGGTTCTTGAGTTGCCTACATATCCCTGGCGTTATGGGAATCAAGCCGTATGTAGTTCTGGATCCCACAGCGAACGAAACTGATGGAGTTGTTATTGAGTGATCGTGTGTTTCGAAAAGGATATTTTGGATATGTTAGTGTCGGGAGTAACAGATAATTTCAGGTGGAGCTATGAATGCGAGTTTGACCGTTATGGATGTATAAGGCAAATATTTGAGCGGTTGCGATATAAAAGGTAATCAATTGCTGATTGTCGGTTATGTTTGAGATGATCGAAGGATATGCAGGTTGTGAATGGGAACCAGAGTGAGAATTGCTCTTGTTTGTAGAACGGTTACCTCCCGAGTTACCTGCAAACTTAAAACACGATGTGCGCGAATATATGGGGTTATTGCATAGTTTAAACATGATGCGAATTCCCTTCGGACCATGAGAGTTGTCTTCGGATGATGAGGATGATGTCCTTAGACCATGACGTCATGGTCCATGAAGCGTATGATAAGGGGTTCGCAGGCCATGAAATGGAATTCTCTGGCCATGAAGATTGGGCCTCTGGACTATGATGCCTTTAAATAATGATGTGCAGTTTCAAGAGATTCTCAGGCCATGGCATGATGTCTTCGGGATATAAGGATGATGCCTTTGGACCATGATGCCTTCGGACGATGTGGAGATGTTTCAGCCCATGAAATGCAAAGATGTGGCGATATCGATCGTTCGATATGGGAAAAAACTGATGCTTAGTTGTATGTGAGAACGAGACAAGGTAGTGCTTAGCCTTGTATGTGATGAGGGTAGTGTTTAGCCCTATACAGAGGAAAAGCGGTGCTTAGCCTTTTGCAATAATGGAGGCACTGCTTAGCCTCATGCAAAGAATGAAGACAATATTTAGTTTCATGCAAGGAAAGACAATGCTTAGCCTTATGCAATGATGGAGGCAATGCTTAGCCTCATGCAAAGGAAGGTAGCGTTTGGCCTTATGCAATGATGGTGGTCGATATTTGGGCATTTCGTAAGTATTAGCATTATGGCTTGATGGGTGTTTCCTTATTGATTGTTGTGTGGATCGGGTGGCACGCCGCCACGGGTATATTGTTTGGATCGGGTGGCATGCTACCATGGGTATATTGTGTGGATCGGGTTGCACGCCGCAACAGTTTCATGTTTGGATCGGGTTGCATGCCGCAATAATGTCGTAGTTGGATCGGGTTGCACGCCGCAATAATGAGATATTTAGTACGGTTCCTTATACTTATTTTGTTTGCCTTGTTTCTAATCTCTGAGATAGAGCCATAACATGGGTTTGGCCGTATTATTCGTTACTTCAATATTAAGCACTGAAACACTCTCGGGTCATCAGAAGCTCGATCCGAACACACGCCCAAGTCCGAAATCATGATACAAACATATTGGAACCTTCAAATCTCGATTCCGAGGTCGTTTACTTAAAATTCAAACCATGGTCAACTCTTCCAACTTAAAGCTTCCGAATTTAGAATTTTCTTTCCAAATTAACTCTGAACTTCCCAAAATTCAATTTCGACTACACTCACAAGTCATAATACCTGAAGTGAAGCTAATCAAGGCCTCAAACTGCCGAACGATGCACTAGAGCTCAAACGACCGGTCGGGTCGTGATATTCTCCCCCACTTAAACATACGTTCATCCTCGAACGTGCCAAGAACTGTTTCGGAGTCATCTAGAATCACTGTTTGACACCTCGTGTACCTACTCATGCCACTACAGCCCATGTGAGCACATTAGCTCGAGCTAGACTGAAGATCCTCCCTATAACCTTAGATAATAAGCCTTAGAACCAAATTCCAACATCTAGAATTCTCCATGAGACCTGATTCTAACATACGAACACCACATCAATCATTACACACTGTTTCAAATCATAATCATACACCTATGATGAAATCACACCATGCACCACATAAGTCTTTTTCTCATAATAACATATGTCGACCACATTAGCTGCAATTTCATGAATCTGATGCCCGGAATACACCTAATAACACATATAAGCCCTGTTCCAACTCTCGCAATACTGCCACGATGAAAGAGATGTGTAGAAACTCATAACCACCTGCCAAATCAATAAATCATGGAGTCCCTCCACCTGATAAGAACCATTACCTCATTATGATCTGAATAACGATATTTTCTCTTTAATATACCCTACATAAATCTGATCATGCTGATCTCAGGTCCAATAACCTCATCTCACCCAGTACAAGCTGTCCGGGCAATAAGCCACCTCAAACACCGTCTAAAATCTCATATAGCACCATCAAAGCACCAATAAGCTACAACTCGGATATGACCCATAGGGAAGAACAAAGTTTGGAAAACAACTATCCAGCCGATTTTGGTACCGGCCCTAGATGTTCGTGAGGCGTAGCAGCTTGGACTTTCTTACGGGAGACTTGAGGTAGATCTGCTGGCATCCGCAGACCTTGGAGTCCCCTTCTATCTTCCTATTTTAATGTTTCTTTTCATTCAGAACAGTTATATTTCTTTCAGACTCTGTTTATAGAAAATCTTAGGAGCTCGTGAGTTGTGACTCCAGATCTGATTTGTAGTAGATATTATGGGCATTTATGTTATTCCCCACTCGATTTTATTTCATTTTGGTTTAATTGACTATATCTATTGAATTGAATAATAATTGACTTAACAGTTCTCTAACGTTGGCTTGCCTAGCAAGTGAAATGTTAGGCGCCATCACGGTACCGAAGGTGAGAATTCTGGGTCGTGACAAACACTGTCAAGAAGTTCCTCCATTGTTTAGAAATATCAGAGTCAAACACTCTACCCAACAACACATTTTGAGACTTCAGAGTCTCCTTCCCGATAATTCAACCTTTTGCTTCTGTAAGGAACTGGGTTCCTCACTCACACTACCATTTCTTTTTCCTGAGCGGCCATGTCACCCTCTTCTTCTTCTCAATTTGTTCACCCTTATCATCTGCTGCATCTTTATCAGCTGACTTTCATTTAAACACAGAGCTCAAAAATAGGTCATCATCAGAATTAATATCCTGAGACGGACTAGAGGGATCAAGTCCGTCATTCAGGTCCTCTTTTTCCAGCACATTCACCAATTTCTCCATCTTTCAAGGCTTCTACAAACCCAACCACAATTTCAACCTCACTCTCTAGAATATTAGATCTACCCTGTTCCTTTTCAGTTAAAGTTCCATCAAAATCTACCAAAGACTTCTTAGGATTTTGATTTAGATGGAATTAGGATTTTGGAAGATGACAGAGTTGAGTTCACTTATGATATATTTGGAGAGAAGGATTATTTTTGAGACAAGGTTGATTTTGGTTTTGAAGAAAATAATCAGTTTTGGTTAGGTGTGGGAGAAGGAAATCATTTTTTGGGGCAACGGGTCAGTTCAAAAAAAGTTTAACATTTTAGACTTCAAAAGTTTGGAGAGAGGCGGGAATAAATTAATGACATGACACTTCAGCAATTTTAAAAGGCATATAAGTATTGAAGAGACCACTAACCTGAGTCACAAGAACCAGGTTCGTTGACGGTTTTTGAAAAATTGAGCAAAAACTCCTAGAAGAGCAATGTCATTCTTACTTGTTTTGTCCTGAAACTACCATGTATGTATACCTATAACAATATAGATTTGAGTTAGATGTCTCCAAAAAATACTTTTTAGCATTGTACCTTTCCTTCTTAACATAGCCAATCATCGAGGGACCAAGTCCTTAGTTAAGCTTGGTCAACCCTAACTCCAGATGATTTCTTTCAAAGTGTTCCCTACTCAGCGCCTTGGTAAAGATGTCTTCTACATGGTCCTCTGTCTTTCAGAATTTCATACAAATCAGACCCTATTCAACATTATCCCTCAAAAAGTGATATCGCACATCAATGTGCTTTGTCTTCTTGTGCTGTACCAGGTTCAAGCTGTAAATATACCAAAGTCTTCAAGATCTTGCTTGATTTGTAGTAGTTGAGCACAACAAGAAGCAACAACCATATATTAAGCTTCAGCATTTGAAAGGGCTGCAAAGTTTGTTTCTTTGTACCCCATGAGATCAAGCATGACCCCAGAAAATATGACATTCCAGATGTGCTCTTTCTATCCATCAGATATTCAACATAATCAGCATATCCAACCAAGTCAAAAAATTTTCCTGAAAAATAGACGAGGACCAGGTCCTGCGTTCCCATAGGATACTCAAAATTTCTTTGGCAGCATTCAAATGAGATTCTTTAGGACTTGATTGGAATCTAGCACACAACCCAACACTAAATATATTGTCAGGTCTGCTGGCAGTTAGGTACAAGAGATATCCAATGATACCCCGATACATAGTTTCATTTACAGGGGAACCAGGTTCGTCCATGTCTAGACGAGTGACAGTAGAAATGAGAGTATCAATGGTCTTTGAGATTTCCATCTCAAACCTTTTCAGAAGCTCCTTAATGTATTTCTGTTGACTTATCATCATTCCCTTAGAGGTTTGCTTCACTTGTAGCCTTAGGCAGAAGTTCAGTTCCCCTGGCATACTCATCTCAAACTCCCTTCCCATAAGCTTTGCAAATTCCTCACACAACAATCATATGTTGCACCAAAAATGATGTCATCAACATAGACCTGCACAATCAACAGGTTCCTCCCTATTTTGTTCAGAAAAATAATGTTGTCAAATTTTCCTCTAGTAAAACCATTTCCAGGAGGAGCCTGGACAACCTTCCTCTAGTAAAACCATTTCCAGGAGGAACCTGGACAACCTTTCATACCATGCATGAGGGGCATGATTTAATCCATATAGAGCCTTGTCAAGCTTGAAGATATGTTCAGGATGTTCATTCCATTCAAAACCATGTGGTTGTTTGACAAAAACTTCTTCCTTCAAATATCCATTCAGAAATGCACTCTTAACATCCATTTGAAATATTTTGAATTCCATATGATATGCAAAAGAAATGAGAATTATGATGGCTTCCATTCTTGCAACTGGAGCAAAAGTTTCATCATAATTAATTCCTTCTTCTTGATTATAGCCTTGGACCACCAGCCTGGATTTATTTCTTATTGTATTGCCAAATTCATCAAGCTTGTTTTTGAATACCCACCTAGTTTCAATAACAGTTCTATCTGAGGGTCGAGGAACCAGGTACCACACGTTGTTCCTCTCAAATTGATGGAGCTCCTCTTGCACGGCAACAATCTAGTCAGCATCTTTCAAGGCTTTCTTGATATTTTTTGGCTCAATTTGAGACAAGAAAGCTGAGAACGCAAACATGTTTCTTGCCTTGGATCTAGTTTGAATCCCTGAATCCAAAGGAGTGATTACGTTTAGAGAGGATGTGAGCTTTTGTGCTTCTAGTTAGTCGTCTGAATTTCAGGATGTGAGGGACCATGTTCCGCCATGTGAGACCCATCATTGGCATCGATGGAAGTGTGAAAATCACTTATTTGATCTGCATCATGAGTGCTTAATACAACATCAGCAACTCTATTGTTAGCTTCAGTTGCTGTGATAGAGGGACCAGGTTCCTCCAAATCAGCTGGAAGTTCTGCTGTATTTTCTTCACTGGATTCCTTGGGTTGACTCATTAGATATGCCTTCCCATTTTCCATATCAATAACCTCTCCAGAGACCTTTGAATGATCTCCATCTTAATCATCATTATCATGTTATTCTTGAATAGTCATCAACAATCACGAAGATGTACTTCTTTCCTCCTCTGATGGGCATCCTTATAGGTACACACATATCCATATGAAGATGATCCAGTGGCCTTGAGGTGATCACTTCCTTCTTTGATTTGAATGAAGACCTGACTTGCTACCCTTTCACACATGCATCACACACCTTATGATGTTTAAACTTTGACTTCGGCAACCCACGAACCAGGTCCTTCTTGATTAGCTTGTTCAACAGAGTGAAGCTTGCATGTCCCAATCTTCTGTGCCATAGTTCAACATTATCATCCACAACGACACTTAGACATATAAGATCACCACCATTCAGAGATTCAAAGTCTGCAACATAAATATTTTTGAACCCTTTTTCAACCAGAACCACTTCACCAGTTATAAGATTGGTGACAGTGCAAGACTTTGACAAGAACTCTACTTTGTTTCCTTTGTCCCAGATTTGAGAGACACTTAGCAAGCTATACTTCAAGACATTCACATAATACACATTCTCAATTGAGTGAGAGAGTATTTTCCCAATCTTTCCAATTCCAGAATGTATTCCTTTTTGCCATTTACAAAGGATACACTCCCACCTTGCAGGTCTTTGAGTGAAAGAAAATCATCCATTCTTCCAGTCATGTGTTTAAAGCAGCCACTATCCATGTACCATTTTGACTACTTTGTTTCACTACTGCCTACACAAGAGAATCAGAGATTAGACGTAGGAAAGAGGGAATGGGCGAATCAGACGTCTTTTTGTCCATGTAGGCATCACACATTTCTTTTTAAGAGAATCAGGTTACTTAGTAGTAGATACTTTTTTTACAAAAACTTTATTTTTCTATTGGGACTGAAACTTTACTTTACATGAATCTTTGTGTTGACCAGTCTTACCACAATGCAAAGCCAGTTACCAGGTATAGTATCATACTTGTTATGTGGGTTATAGGGGGCTTTTTCCTTGTGGAACCCGATTTCTTGCATGTTCCCCCATTACTTTTATACGTAGAAGTGATTATATCATAGGACCAGGTCCACTTTAGAGATTTATCTAGATCATTTTTAACGCTGCTTAAATCTTCCTGAAGTTGTTTATTCTTTTCAAGTTTAACAGCAAGACTCAATTTTATATTTTTGAGTTCATTTTCAAGCATAAGGTGTGCCTCACTTGCCACTTCCTTTCCTTTAGAGGAGTTCATACATTTTTTCATTGAATCTTTTAAGAGAATATTTTCTTTCTTTGTTTCTTCCATTGTTTCCTACAAATCTACAACTACAACCACCAGATCATCTCTCTTGTTCTAACTCTCTGATTTTGTCAGTTAAAACATTTTTATCTCTAATAAGGTTGTGGTAAGCATCAATTAAAATATTAGCTAAAGATACCCGCTTCTTTTTAGAGTAAGACTTCAAATTTCTTTGAACGTCCAGAAAGTTTACCTCATCATCATCATCTTATTCATCCTCATCAGATTTTTCCATTAGTGCAAATATGGAATCATATTCTACAGCTTTGCTTTCAACGGCCATCATGGAGGTGTCTCCCTGCTCATCATCACCCTCAGATTCACTAGAGAATCTCCCCAGGCAGCCAGAGCTTGCTTCACAATATTATCAGTGACATCTTTTCTCTTGAAATTCTTGTCGGGGACCGGGTTCCTCTTAACCATCTTGTCAACATTGTGTTTGCAATGATCCTGCTTGTGGAGAGGACAATCTTTGATAAAATGTCATGACTTTCCGCACTTGTGACAACAATCCTATCCTTTAGTGTTTCTGCTAGAGCTGCCTTTCTTGGCAATGCCTCCATTTCTACGAACCAGTTTTTGAAATCTTGGTGGTCTGTAAGTTGATTGACTTTCTTCAAAATTTGATGGAGCAACCATGTAGATCCTTTCTACGTGTTAGCCTTATAGTAAAAATCTGCTCTGATACCAATTAATGTAAACTAAGAGTCCACAAACTATATAGAGAATTTGGTTTTCTACCAGTTCCCATATAACACACACACACATCGGTAAGTAAATAACATAACAATATTTTACGTGAAAAACTCCCAGCTCACGAAATTAAAAAGCACGACCTACACTCGTAGGATTTCAACTTCATTAGCTGAGCAACTTTAGATTACAACCTATTATAACCTAGGAATTAAACTCTTAATCACTCACCTACTTGCAATAACTATATTGCAAGTATCTTTGTAATAACTCAATTCAAAGCAACAAACCTTGACTAACTCTAGTCAAGAAACTAAACCAAACAGTGATTTAAATCTGTCCTACAAAGACACTTCTTGAAAGTAATGTAGAATTACAAATAAAGAATAAATAACAAAGACTCAACAAACCTAAGGACTTAAGATATCTTCAATCTTTGGATCTGGTACTTCAGGTTGCAACAGTTTTGTTATTGAGAGAGGTGGTGGCTAGCACTTGAGATAATATAGTCTTTTGGATTTTCAAGTGTTGAGAAAATGAAATCCCTTGCCTCATGTTGCTAGTATGTGTGTGTGATGTCATCAACGATGATGCAATAAAGTGTCCTTTAGTTTGGCCTTAGCAAGCTACAACTTTGTTGCTGTATTGCTGCCAGACGGTACAGTGCAGTAGCCTGCCAGACGGTACAGTGCAACAACTTTTACAGCTGTAGAGTTGACTGCACGACGAGCACGGGAACTGATCCCTATCTGTTTCCTCTGTTGTTCCCTTATCTGATTTTATTGAGAATTAAACCAGACATCTAACTAATTACTCTGAACGCAAGGAAACTATTTGTATCCAGTTCCTTACCTGGTTCTCTCATGAAGTTTGTCAAATCATCAAAACAAAAGACGCATAACTTATCAGAACCTTTTCATTCAGAATAGTAAAGGGAAGTCTCAATTTGTGCAGCACCATTCCAGCCTAACATTTGTTGGTGGAGATGACATGTTCATGAACTGGTGTTTTTTGACGGGAAATAAATAGAGAATCACAGGTGTGTAAGTTTTCTTTTGTTCATTGTTGTAACTACCAATATGTTGCTGATAGTACACCCTTACTTTCTGCCATTGACCTTTTTCTAATTGGAGCTTCCGGTATTAAACAGAAAATGTGTTAGTAATTTTATTATATTTCAGAGCGAAAATAAGGCACCTTTAGATTTGACTTTTACTTGACAGATAGCTCTTCTTTCTATAAGACATGGAGCAAGTATGGATGCTGAGGACATGGATGCAAGGGTGCTTGAACAAGCTTCAGATGATCCCAACATTAGTTGATGCTGGTAAGACAATGTCTGGATATAAAACCATCTGGTGTCTGAGCCAGTCACTATATTCAAGGCGAACTCAGAGAATGACTAATGTGAGGTGTGCTCAAATTTTTGAAATTGGCTGCTCCTAATGCGTCTTTAGTTACTAGATAAATTCTTTTTGTATGTGAATCTATGTTTTAACTGTCATATTAAATTGTAATAGGTGTGTTAGTCCTAGACTAGCCTTGAGACGAATGCCATGGTTTTCCTTTATAGAGAAGAGTTAAGTAGCTCTTTAGCTTCCAAGTTAAGCTTCGAGTTTGGATTGGAGAACTGACTGAGCGATGTAATCTCTTAAGTCAGCAGCTTAAGACATTCTTAGATGGTATATCGGAAAAGATGATTCTTACTTCCTTTATAGCGCACACGTCTATTATAATTGTTGCAGAAACAAAGTTTTAAGTTTAGTAGCGTTTCACTTCCTCGTTCTTTATATTCTACCAAAACTAAACTAACACAAACAAACAATAATGTCGGGCACATCCCGTGCAAAGCACACACACACACTATCTAGTATCTTTAGGTGAGAATTAGAATCAATCTTGGACAAATAATGTAGTATTGGAAATGAGGCTTTCCGGAAAC